GAGGGCCTGGGAAAATAGTTCCTGCTGTGTTCTTGTTCTTTAATAATCTTTAATGATGTCATGTATGCAAATGTCCCTCGAATTGAGAACAATTCCAATTGTTTGTTTCCTGTTGGAAGCAGGTTCGCAGCAACATTGACTGAGACCCACTAAAGCCTGAATCCTGGAGAAAATATCACCCCTCTCGCAGGTCAAGTTTGACACTAGTAGACTCACGGCTGTTAGCTCAATCATGCTGAATACCATGAGGGGACAGGATCCCTTGGCCTTTTGACCTTTAACAATGGAAGTGGCTCCCACCGGTGAATTAGACCTGCAACTCGAGTTACGCACCTTCACGTGGTCATTGGAGGGCGGTTGCACTTGCTCGCTCAAGACCTCCCCAGGGAGTAGTTCGCAGAAACATGACCACGGTACGTGAGGATGCAACCTGGACACTGGGCGCACATGATGTTGTCCATCAGTTGCAAGGCGCCACAGTTGAAGTACGATTGTTACAGTATCTCTTTTCTGTTCATTCTCTTTCCAAAAAGAACACACAAGGATCTCTCTAAAGGGCAAAGCATGCGGCCAAAAGGCAAAATAGTCTTCGATGTTGGTAATCTTTCTGATGCCTGCCATGGCTGTGGTGCAAAAAGGCCTGGAATTCTTCATCACCATGTTGCGGGATGGTGCGAGCGAGTGGACAGGAGACCAAACAGAAAAATATTGTGACGGATTGCTACAAGGTGTCACTTAAACTTCCCTGCAAGCTTTCAGCTTCGTTACCGGAGATCACAGTCCGCTTCGGCCGGACCGACCAATCGCTTGTTTCTCTACAAGTCACTGTAACAAATCGACTGACCTGCTCCATAAGCGAGTTGTATATGGGGCCGACCTTTCAGGCTGTGCCTTAGATTCTCCTAACCTGCTGTATGCATAGCTTGCCCTTCACGTCTTACACGCCGGGCCTTCTTCAGTTTTGTCCCACACCAAGCTGCTTGCTAAAGAGACCTCGGTATGTAGTCTAGATACAGCAAATACAGCCATACAGCCCAGGCGTTTCTTGAGTAGACCTGCATGTCTGTACGCATGACGACAATCGCTCTGCTTCCAGGAATGTGATGCTGATAGGGCCTAGGCATCGAACATGATTCAACTGTAACGTCTTCAAACATGCACCATGTTGTGCCAGTGTGTTGTGACTGTGGCTTTTCGATCATCAAACCCCAAGTGCCCCAGCACAGCAAAGACCTTCTGAACATGCTGCCTGAACCCCAAAGGTCGTGGTGTGGAACTTGCGTGCAAGAGACGCCCTTCCCAAAGAAGCCAGCAGCACTCCCTATGATGCCTTTTCCTCAGTTCGTTCGTCGTCGGTCATGCTGTATAACCGATCACTTTAAGATATTAGACCACAACCAACCAAATGAATACTGTACCTTTTGGGCCATGAGGATGGAAAGAAAGCTGGAGGGACCTTGGAAGGAGCCAAGCTACCATCATGGATTTTCTCAAGAGAAGGCTAGAAAAGCATCATTTAAGGTTTTGATGCAATTCCCTTTGTGAATTATGTTGGGTCTTCACATCTTGAGCGATGAAGGAAAAGAGTTTTGAACTTGATCCAAGTGTTCGTTCAGACGGCACTTCCTCTTGGAGGGGATTAGCGTCCTCGTCGATGTTCGAGAGAGGTATCCTGCAGAAGCCGTTCAGTCAGGGGTGAATGTACCGTCCCTTTTGCCATACAATCCTGCAAGAGCTTTCATACGATTCGAAGCTTGAACAGGTCCAGCAATGGTGAAAATCTGAGGCAAAGATGCCCTTTCCAAGGCATTCTAAGGATCAACCTTCAACAGGAAAGTGTCAAGTGCCCTTGCTGCTTGATGGATACAATTTCGAGGGATGATGTCAATGATCCAAACAGTCGAAAGACCGGATTCTCCACAGAACACATGTAGCAGAGCCTGCATGGTGCTCTAACAGGCAAAGAAAAGAGTGTTGCAAGAGCTGTACACAAGCTTGACCAGAGCCTGTGTACATGCTGGAACCGTAATTCCGGCTTTTGAAGCCCAGGAGATTTGACTCTGGCTCTTCTTGAAGGTCCCTGGGTCCTGTTAGGAAGCGCTTCTTCGTGCAAGTCAGCCTCGCTGTTGGCCTGACAGGAGGTCCGAAACTGCATATTGGTGTGTGGATAACTGGAGTAACTGGATACCAGTGTATATGCAAATAACTGGGTACGAGATAAGCCACATACACGCAAATAAATATAGACATATATAACTGCATCAACTGTATACGGTATATGCAGAAAATACACTACAAGGGATAAGCCGCATACGTGCAAAAGGGATGATAAGAGGAGATCAATCCCCAGAATATACGACAGAGTCAAGTGGAAACAGGAAGGTTAGGTCACTTAGGTCTAATTAAACACAATTGAACAACTGCTGCGTCGACACTTGCTGCCATCAAAGAGGCATCTTTGTAGGCCAGCCTTGGTATGTGTGAATGTGGCAATTGTGACCACAAATCGCAAACAGAGTCCGAACATGACAGATCTGGTGTTCCACATGTGTTTGGTACATGGAGTGGTTCCTCGTGTTCCCTCCAGAGACTTGCATCAAAGGTACTCGCTCTTGGATCCTCTGGAGGCTCGCGATGCCTTTGAGAAGCGATCCGAGAACTGCATCTTGGCCCTGCACGTAGCGGCCGCTGCAGAACTCACCGAAAGAACTTCGAGAGAGGTAGCTTTTGGAGTATTGGAGCCATTGCCTTTGCATTCCTAATTGATAATTGAAAGAATGATCAAAGTTGATGCCTGGTGCTCACCAAGGGCATGAACGCAATGAAGGTTAACTCAAACAGGCATCCAGCTTGAGGGGAAGGGAGGACTCCTGGTTTTGAGTTCCAGGTCTATCGCAACGAAGAATACCCCTCCACTGCAGATCCCATCTCTGGCCTCAGAAAGGCCTGGGCGATCAGATCGGGACACAAGGCGCAAAAGAAGCCAAGGTTGTCTTTATAAACAAAAATTATCAAATCGATCAAGGATTGCGAATTGCATGTCCTCCACCAAAGCCTCAGGAAAGTACTGGGAGAGCGAAGTGTGAAGAAGGTTGTGTTTTTGTTGGATTTAGGGTGTCTTCAAATGCCCAAAGGTGGTTTGTTGAGGGGCAAACAGCAAACCTTCAAGTCACAAGAATTATCGCTACTCAACCACCATTGGTAGTGTATTTCTGTATATATATATATACTCAGGATCATCAAGATATGTTCTATGGGAAGTCCTGGAATTGTTCATGGGTGATTCTTCAAGCCCCCCCGAAACCGCTGGTCAGCAAAGCCAAAAACATGGTTAAAGAGTGCGCTGTCGTCCTGGTGCTTTTGGGTTGTAGACACGTTCGGTATCATCTTCCTGGCCCTAAACGTCTGCGCCCACAGTGAGCGGAGGCGCTCGCGGCCGCAGCATCAGGGCCCGCGAAGACCTTCTGGAATCCTGCAGGCACAACAAGGACAAAAAAGGTATACGACATCATAAGAACCTCAAAACCTTCAAATCCATGGTTCAAAATGTGTTTGTAAAATTGAAGGAGTGTCATCAGGCTGTTAGAGGATCATTCTGCCCTTTGGGTCATGGTCTGCATTAGCGTGGCGGATATGAGGGATGGATGAATTCTTGAACATTCAAATAGCGCCAACTTTCGTCATGGAAATGGGATTGGACTGCCTTTGCAAAACCGTTGTTTGGACAAGTTGTGAAGTGAAACAATCTTAAGGGAGTGAATCTATGCATTGTCACCCAATATGAGGCTCAGCCCCTATTGGAGGTCGCATCACTGACCCAGAAAAGACTGCTGGATCCTTACATGCAGTGCCAAACTCTAAAATTGACAGGCTAACTCCAATCCAAAAATCGGTCAGGTGGATCTGGCTTGACCGACGTACGCGCGACTGCCCTGCCCCCAACCTGCTTGCTCTCTACTCCAAGTGACCACTGAGAAACCAGGATATCTACCAACCCCCCAATTGTATCCAATTGTTATGCAGCATCTAGAAAACCCATGAAAACCCTGTCCTTCAAAGAGGCCGCTGTGGTCGAGGCCGTCGGCGAGTCGGGCTGATCATCCAGGCCCTCAAACTCTTTGATCATTCCAAGCGACATTCTCCTGTCATGGATAGGAACAAGGACGCTACTAGGGGCTCCTGGCCGCACTACTAGGAACTATGTTCGCTATTAGAAACATTCCAAAAATGTCCAAAACATCGGTGTCGAAGCTTGCGAGATTCGTGAGACACAGCGAGCGACGTGCGTGAAATGTCAGTGGCCGTGCAGCACGCGTTCGTCATGTTCGGTGTGCAAACATTGCAAAATGGGTGTCGACCTGCTCAGCCATTTCATCGCCATGGCTGGCAGAACAACCGTCCCCTGTACTGGGGAGCAATATATAATGGCTTTCAAGAATTCAATGCACTATAATTATTGGTAAGAGATGCCCTGTCAGGGTAGAAGGTTTCCCGTTTGTCTTGATCTGGCGCACGTGGCTTCATTAGGAGCACCTTTCGCACCCATTTTGCTGTAGGACAAAAGGCACCTGCTTGATTTCTGAGCATGAAAATGAAAAAAAACTCGAGCCAGAGACATTGCTGCGAAGACGCAAATGAGGTGTGGGTAGGATCTCCTCAATCGAAAGTGTCCGTCTAGAATCTAGAAAGCACAGCCAAGTGCAAAAAAAGTTTGCAATGCAGCAAAAACTACTACATCAAAGGAGTGTTGAGCATGCTAGGTGGTGCAAATACAAGATTGTTTTGACATGATCAATTTCAAGCAGTGTGTCTGCATTTAGCCGTATGATTCTAGTGCAAGTAGTGCAGCTTCATCAAACCACACACACACCCTGCAATGCAAGCAATCTGAGCTCTACAGTCGTATACTATACTAATACTATACTGTACGTACTTATAACTTGTATAAATCGAACGCATTGTGTAAAAAGAATTCAGAATGAGCTGCCCAAGACCCCCGCGAGGTGGGGAACTTCCGTTGCGCCACTACGAAGCCCTGCACCGCCCTCTGTGGCCCATCCTGAACAAGGTCACAAGATTAAGGACCAGTGGAACCAGGAACAGTTAAGAAAGCACGGGAAAAACGGGATACGCTATGGAAATGGGATGGATAAAACCCATGGAGTTGATCTTACAACGAAGACGATTGATTGTCAAGCCCGTTGAAAAATCCCAATTCCTGTCAAGTAGGTGAATGTGAGCTGGTACTAGGATTTCTTCGTGACCAATCCACAGCAATGCGGCCTTGGCCAGGACTGCCTTGCCCTGAGGTGGCACGGTGAGCATCAAGCGCCGTAAAGACTTCTCCTCGGCCTGCACCTCATCCTGACATCGGTCAACAGTCGCAACATGTCGCAACTGTCACAACTAGTGCTTCTGTTGCAACTACCAGCAGTTACATGTGCAAGACTTCAAGTGCTTCTGGTGGGTCTCTCTCAAAGCTCTGGAGCTTGCCAAACCGTAAAAGGCCGTGCTGTTGGTTTGGGCAAGCACCCTATCTCTATCTGAGTCTGCAGCAAGTTAGCTATGTTTGTCATTTAGAGGTGCAGGACAAGGTCTTACCAGGCCCTCAGAACACGCGCAGATGAAAGATTCTTGCCGCGATCCATTCTGATTCTCCTATATCACTCTCCGTCAACAAGTTGTCCATCATCATCAAACAGATTTGCAAAAAGAATGTCAAAGAAGAGGGAGTGGAATGCATGTCAAGTTAAAAAATATATATATAATCCTTTACCTCTGCTGTTCAGAAAGTCTTTTCAACTCTTGACGCGCGAATGTTGTCGGTGCCTCTTCACCACCGCTCTGCTTTCGCCGTCGCCTCCTCAAACGATCTCCGTTCCGGAGCCCAGGGTCCCCAGTTATTGCACCAGAAACTTCGACAAAGACTGGCCAGGGGCAATGATGTCACATTGCAGGTTGCTGGCAAGTGCCTTCCTGTTGCAAGGGAGGTTTCACTCCTTCTGCGTGCTATATGAAAAGCGGCAATGGTAAGGTCTCCGGTACATCAAAGCGTAGCCAATTAGAACTAGCTATAACTGCGCGCCTAGCGTAGTCATTGTTTCGGAGCAGGGCCTGGACCAATGGCCAATGAACATTGGCCGAATCATGCTGAATCTAGGCATTACCTTGACAGGAAACAAATCGAAAAGGGCACGGGCAGGGCATCCGTTTCAATACATTGACATGGATGTTGGATGGTGCTTGACTCGGGACATTGCCAGCTGTGAGAGTGGAACAACACGAACCGCTTATTCATCTCCGATACTAGTAAGCTCCAAGAAACCTTAAGGAGTTTGCAGACTCTTCAGCACACATTGCCTGCCTCCTTTAAAATATTCTCTCCACCTGATGATCCTGATCACTGAAAATTTGATGTTTTGTCCGGCTAGCTGGCGTTCCCTCCTGTCAACAACGTCCTTGCGAACCCTTGCAGGGCGCTAAGGCTTTAGCCCGGTCGATGAGGTTCCGCCAGTGGGCGTCGTTGCAGTTTAAGCCCAACCTGGCAAGCTGCTGACATTGCAGGCTCAATGACCGGATGTAGCTGGTTGGATGCGTCTCATGCGTCTATTGAAAAGCTCCAAGGCTCCAATCAAATGCTTGCGAGGTGATACGGATCTACGTTTTTACGAAACCTGTTTTGCTGATCTAGTTGAACTCGCCTACCAGGCCTATGGCATATAGTTTAACGACAAGATCAGGAGAATCCAACAGTTTCTTGCAAGAAGGTCCATGCCATGCGCATCTGACTTCCCCAATATGATATTGCCAACAGGAACTAGACAATCCAAGCAACGTAGAGCACGGCTGATTTCAGCGGCCCCAAAAGCATCACACATGCCACACTGACTGAGCGACCACAAAAAACAATAGTCTATGAGGCCCAAAGGCGTGTTCTGTGCATCACAACATATCACAACTCTTAGCGGGACTCATTTCGTCAAGAACCCAAAGGCTACGCTCATCACCAGGAGGTGCACCTGAGCAAGGTATCGTTCTTTTCCAAGAGCGCTCCGAAGGCTTCTTCCACCGGCCTCGGTCCCGGACAACAAACAGCGAGAGGTGTCCTTAGCGAATAGTGTGCGCGCTCTATGCAGGTGAACATGTAAGCCATCAGCCCTTTTAAAAACATGCAAGAATGGTCTGTGCCCTAGTACCAGTATGGCTCCAGAACGCAAAACAATAGCGGAAGCACCTTGGCCCGACATACCCTGCAATGACAATGACTTGTTGCAAACTTTTTGGTGTTCCCAGTTCTCATTCCGTCGCTTGAGACTTTGGCCGGCCGAAGCAATTTCCCACGCCCTTCTGCTGGTTGAACCGCAGCGTTTCAATTTTACTGCGGTGGCGCAGGTTTGCAGGCAAGTTCGTGACACCAGGCAGAAGGGGTCTGTAGCTGCCGTTTCAACCACTCTGGTGAAGAAAACGGTTTGTGATCGGCAACTCAGAAATATGTGGAGTGTACATGAGTCTCACGCGAGCTTCACACAAGTGCGCTGAGTTGGCTCGAACTCACAAGAGTCACTCAAAAGCTCAAAAGCTCCGTTGGCTCCTGCTTGGGTTCTGCAGAATAGATGTGGCCTGGGAGTTCCGCCAAAGGGCAGGAGGCTGCGAGAACCCTAGCGGGGCCCCCTGCGAGGCCCCTGCAGGAACCTGTAGTGGAACCGAAGGCTTGTAGCTTTTGGCGCTGACTTAGCCGAACCAAACGAGTCCTGATGAGTCCTGTGGGGCTTTGGGATGTGTCCTCTCAATTCACTTGAGAGCGCCGGATGTAAAAAAAGGAGAAGAGATGGAACTTCCTCCCTGGTCCATAGGTGTCGATCAAACAGCACGCATGGCAGTGTTAAATCAAAAACTTTGCGTCTGATTCTGAAGGGCTTCAAAACGCGCGGCGTATCGACCTCTGAAACTGGGGCCACAGCAAAATCTTTCACGCTTGAGGAGTCTAGGACATTGTTCCTGAGAACGGTCTGGCGGACCATTCACATGTCATTTTGAGTGTTCCTAACTTGCATAACTTACATTGCAAATGGGGCCTGATAGAAGCAGTCAGATTTCAGGTAACTTGCGACATGTTAAGGTTCTAGCAACGAGTTTGCCACCAAATCATGTTAGCATGCCCCAAAATCGAAAGTCCAAGGTTCACCGCAAGTTGTCACACACTTTCACATGCACCTCGTATCACAAATGAATTACGGCTCCCGGGCTGGGTGGTGTGTCTCTCCGTGCACCAACACCAGACTCCCACAGTGGGTGCCCACACTCCAAGTTGACATGGACGACAGTGGTATTCCTTGGATCGGATCAGCAAAGCAGCTGCTGAAAAGAAGCTGTAGTCACTCTAGTAATGGGTTCGACGTAGACAGGGTCATACGCGTGGGTCCGGCCTTAACGATGGTAGCTCTTGCAACGACTGTGGACCCTCTTGACTCAGAGGTGTGGTCGTTCATCCACTTTGGTGTATTTGGCTTGACATAAACGCGATGTGTCTCCATTCCCGTTAGAGGAAACATGTGCCCCTTCTACTCCCCCTTTTTACCCACAAATGGTTTCTGTGGCTGTTTCTCTTCATGGTTTCGTTCCAACTTGTATCAGAAGCAGGCCGCAAAGGATAGTTTTGAAATCACACAGGATTTTACCCGTGTTGCTTTTCAACCCTTTTTGTTTCCTTACCAATTCCTTGCCGAACAAGAAACGTAAAGCTCTGCATTATCAGCAAATCACCCCCAATTTGTCTCCACTTCCATGTTAGTTGTGCCAGGCCCTTGTTCAAACAGTCCAACCAACGCTCTGTTTAAGTTAAAATTGTTTGAGCCAGAACGTGTTTAGTTTAAATCATTTGTTGGGAATCCACACAAGGACATATCAACCCCTTCTCGTCAATGGGCTTAAATGTCTAAAGGCAGTTGAAACATGGCATAGTTCTAGAACCCCTCCGTGCACGCAAGTTGCCGCAAGTTGCGGATTTACGGACAATGTATTCAAACAAGTTCGTTCAAGCATGCAAACATTCTGTCTCCAAAATGACTCCAGCAAATTTACAATGGTGGGACCTAATGACCTAATGTTCAAACAGGATTCTATGGTTCAACAAACACAACAGTTTTCATACAGTAAATTCCCTCTGCACCTAGACAGGGCAAAGTGATACTGTACAGAATTGAAGACTGAACATATTTGACCCAACACGACCAACTCAAATCCTTTGCTATCCCCGTGCCTTCCTTGATTGCCCCTTGCTACCAAACACTTCCCCTCATTGCCTCGCTCTGAAATTGGATTCGCATTGATTCAAGCAGTCCAACATAAGGATCGAAAGGGAGGGCCTGAGGCTGGCTGCGCAAGCCCTAACCTAACAACTGTTAATATATTTTAATAACTGTTCATTCACAATATACAGATGCAATACAGTAAACATCAGTAAATTATACTTCGTTTCTGCTTCAACATGTTCAACGCTCGTTGAGTGCGATGACTTCCTCTTCGTCAACGTCACGCCAACACGACGGCCCCCTCGATGAGTTTGTGGCGCAGCTGGGTTTGCACCTCCCATTTTCCAGTCCCGGTTTGAGGTTTCGGCGTCGCCGATTGTAAGCAGTACATGTACAGTGAACATGTGCAAATCTCTGGCCTGAAGAAACTTTCAAACAGCTTGGCAACAGCCTCTGTAGCTTCTTGGTCCCTTGCCATGAAAGCAGCATTGCCGTTCTACGCATGGTGGCATGTCCCGACCAAGTGCATCCATGCAACACTGCCAGGGAAGCCGCCAGGACGCTGCCCTCGGCCTCAAAACGCTGTCGATCAAAATCTACAATCCACCATTGGTGGCCGAAACCATGGCTTTGGGAGAACTGAGAATGTATGCTTGAGAAGAGTCGTGACCAGGGAGCTGGAAGTCAGGACTCCATGAGGAGAATTTGTTGTTCTTCAGGCTGCCATTCGTGATGGTTTCTGGCTCGTGAGCATTCACACGAAAAGAAACTGAAACGCCAAGTCTGTAGTAATGTTCTGTGTGTGTGTGTATCGTATCTGAGATCTGGATCTGCAAAGACATATATCATATCATCACAGTATTACAACTATAGTTATATATGACATGCTACAAAAGCCCCAGCCTTGTGCAGGTTGGAGTTGACCAGGGAGAGGATTGTGATGTGCGTGTTGGTCGCCATTGCCTTCATCTGTCGCACGCGTCTTTGTGGTTTATGCTGGTCTCATTGTATATACTCCGAGCAAGTTGCAGGAGAAAGGAACATGTGATCAGTGCAGGCACGGACGGCTTTGGACTGACCAGTCGGCCCCGCACCACTTGGGTGCTTCGATGTGTCTGGCGTGAACCCAGGTACTCTTCAAGTTGTCTTCTCCCTGAATTGGAGGCCCGTCAACTCTCCACCTAAGTGGACATGCAGGAATGGTGATTGTTCCACACACAAAAATATATAATGCGTCTGAATATCAAAATGTATCAAAAGACAACGTTCAGTAGTGCGGCATGCAATTCAGCCACACCTCATTACTCAGGGACAGGAACTACCATTCCAGCAGTTATCACAGACCATGGCTGTTTCACTGAGAGAACCTGCTAATCAGACACACTATATACACATAGCCAACAAAGTCCGCTGTATCTGTCCTTTAAAGCTCTGATGAATCACTGGTCTGGGTGCCTATGAGTACCTCAAATGCAACAATGTGCAAGACCCATGTGACCATGATTTGGGTCCAAAGGATGCACATGTAGGCAAAGAAGCTTAGGGCTGTAGAAGAGCAACGTACTTGCTAAGCAAGGCATAAATGTAACAACACTACGAGAAAAACTTTGCACAGCTGGGGCAATCCTTGCCTTGGCCAACTTGGGGGCTATTCTGGCCTGCCAAGTCTGTTCCGGAAAGCATCAAGACCTATCAAGGTAGGTTGTGTGCAGAGTGTGTAAAACAAACGAATGACAAGAAAAGTTATCTATACAACCTTAGTGCTTGCGGGGCCTATTCTCTCATCAAGCTAAGGCAGAGCCTCACAGTCACTTCACACAAAAGAGCTTGGTACTCGTTCAAGTTCGACAGAAGACCTTCCATTTCCTTGGCTTCCACCCCACTATGGGAACACTAGGTAAAATATGGCCGTGAAAACAGCAGAAGTCCGAGTCAGTGTTTCGATTTCCCCACCGCCGCAAAAGACTAGAGTCTCTCCAATCCCGTCCTCCAAGTGCGCCGGGGGCATGTGCATGTTGTTGAAGTTGAAGTCTGTTAACGTGGGATCCTCGGACGCTTTCACTCTCAAAAAGATCTTCACCGCAAACCCTCGAAAGAAGGGGAAGACGATAAGATCAAACTAAATTGACCACAAGACCAAGTTTTTCCAAGTCTTCAACCAAAGTTCAATGATTCATGAATTGAATAGAAGCTCCGGTGATCTTATCGAAATTGCTTTGACCCGAGGAAAAATGCATTCCCTGGACCCTTGCTGCCCAATCTGAGCTCCACGCGTTCAAGTGCGCACGGTGGACCATCCAAATCATCCTGCATCAAAATCGTGCATCAAGTGCTTCCTTCATTTTTCTACTATCCAAATTACTGGGACATAATGTCGACATGGTTTAAGGCTAGCTTAAACTATTTTAATGCTTTATATGGGTGTCAATTCTGCAACCCTGCAACTCGATGCAACTCGTAAATCCCGGCGCACCAGTCTCCAAACGACTTCACCTGGAGGAGAGTGGAGCAGTCCCTTCAAATGAAACACAAGAATTCTAAACCCACCTGCTCAGTGAGTGCAGTCAAGATAACATCATAAACTATTATCCGAATGTCAAGCTTTCAAACCAACAATCAAGGACTGGGTCTCCTTTGCTTTATTTTGCTTTGCTACGTGTGCTGGCTGCACAATATATCCCAGAACACAGAACTCTCATGTGAGCTTCTGATGGGCACGAACCCAACGAATCACGGGTGGACATCCAGCAAGCCTCCAAAAATGGCTTAGCAAAAACCACTATCGTGGACATGTCGCAATATCCATGGCTTAGATCAATGAATCACCTCATGAATGACCTACAAAGCACGAAAAGAGCTCTGCGAAGCCGTCCGGCCTTGGATGGCTCCTCCACCATGTCTGCCAAGTCTTCGATGGCCTTGCCACTTGCCAAGTCTCTGCATGTCTACCAAGTCTCTATGTTAACGCATTTTTTACCAGAGCCTGTCTTCAAGGTACAACATCAAACAAAGGACTTCCCATGACTTGCCCTACTTCGAAACCTCACCTGACACCAAACAGACTCTCTAGACCCAATCTTATTTCAAGGTGTGCGACTGAAGGAATTGGGACGGTTTAAGATGGTTTAAGACTGGAGGACTCTTTACCAGCCTTTCTCCGCCTGTTGCAATAGAGAAGAAATTCACTAAGGCTAAGGTAGTTGGAATGGCTGCAGCAATCCCAAATCAGCCGTTGCATGCGGTCTCTTGTGCTTTGCCAAATATAACTCGAGCGACTTATCTCTGCAATAAACAAAGCTTCATCTAGAGCAAGTGTCCATGCTAAAAACACTGACTCAGGCCTACCTCCAACATCTCGGCAAAGTTTTGGTCGATGTTCTCAGCATCCACTGTCTGGACCTCCTCCACCTACCACACCAAAAATGAAAAGGAGGACAATACATGCATGTGTACAATACATTGAGCCAAAACCTCGGTGTTGCATGGTGTTGCAATAACTGCTATTGGTGCGTCATGGCAATGTTGCTCAATACAATCACGCGGCCAGCAATTTTGCACCGTCCTTGGTTTAAGGCAGCACGATCACCTGCCTGAGATCTAGTTTGAATATGCAGCCTCCACACGGGTAGATGCAAGGTCAATGCCTCCACCAGCTCCCCCAGCCACCTCACCTGAAAGCTAAGAGATGTCTCTGCACTCCCTGAAGCGTTGGTGGCAGTAATCTTGTACCTCCAGCATTGCCAAGAATCGCTCAAAGGTAAGGCGTGCATGCCAAGACCATGCAATGGTTGGTTTGCTGATGTTGGATGGCAGCTGCATGGCCAAGTTTTAAAAAAAAGTGTGCGTGACACTTGCTCGCCGCTTGCCGTTGCACATGCACTCGCTTACAAGTGCTGAGTTCAACCAGAAAAAGGACATGTAGGTGCTACGGTCCGATAGGGTCTCCATGCCAACTCCCACCAACCATCATCAACGACCTCACAAGCTAGGCGCACGTTGTCTCTGGACACCTGAAGCATTCAGCATCCGAAATTGAACTGAACTCACCCAGCCACCAGTTCAACCAAGACATGAAATTTTCAACGCATAGGATAATCTTATGCACCTTGCTACAAAGGAAACCCGCCCGCTCCCAAGGTGCTGGTGTGAGCGTGTGTGCCCCCGTCCGTATCTAGGAGTTTAATGTTTTTCCACAGCTTCGCAGGGGGCATGGCAGCTGTTCCCCTAGCCGTGCCAACGAAGCTATGGGATTCAGCCGGAAGGGAATGTGGAACCACATTCCTGTACCTGCACTGTGACATTACTCCCATCTTCCTGCGCTGTGATTTGTTTCCATGGTTGTTCTCATGATAGACCCCAAAACATTTCCCACCGCCGCTTTCTGCCGATGTGCTGTCGCGAGAGAGTTTGAACAGTTTCTGCCAACACTTGGAGTACTGTTGCTGAGTCAGCCGCCGTGCGTTTCCCTCATCCATTTCACTGTGGATTACGACTAACTGCAAACCCTGTGACTAAGTGTGTATCGCTGTGTCGTCCCTGATCCTCTCGCAAGAGAGGCGCCGAGACCACCGTGAATCACAGATTTAGCGCTTACTGCACGCATTGGATTATGATTTTGGAATCCCATTCATTTCACCATGAGTCGTCCGACCGCAAAGCTGCCGAGCTTACGGACAGAATGCCGCCGGGCTTACGGAGAATGAACCCCCCCCCTCCTCTTCTCTACCCCCCCCTCTAACAGAAGGAAATGGTACTCGACACACTTGTGCGTCGGCGCCTTTCCTTCTGTTGTCCCTGTTCTAGTCTACTCTACCCGGGCGGTTTAAGGCTAAAGTCCCGCTCCCTAACTACTGCACGCAATTAGGAGCCGCTAAGTAATCAGTAACTAGAGTGCTAAGTATTCAGACACGCACACATGGACATACACCCCCTCCCTGCCCCCCGCTTTCTCTCCTGCGCTTTCTTCGTTTTCTAGGTTTTTCTTTCAGGCTCGTTAGGTGGTTCTTGAGGCACATTTCCCTACCCCTCGGGTTTAGTCAAGTGCTAGGTAGTCATCTTCTTCGCTACTCCTATCTTTTTCTCTTCCCCTTTTCGCTTTGCTCTTTCTGTCTTTCTTTCTTTCGTTTCTAAGGCGTTTTAGGTATCTACTCAGGTTTTGCGCAACAATTTGCCGCTCGTGCGGCAGACCTGCACGACCGTACACCTACCTTTTTCTCCCGCCCTCTTCGGCTTCCGTTTTTCCCTTTCCTTTCCTTTTTCTAAGGCTTGTTAGGTGACTATTCAGGTTTCGCGCTGCAAAGCGGCAGAGTGTGCGTCTCCCCCTCCGTATCTAGGAGTTTAATGTTTTTCCACAGTTTCGCAGGGGGCATGGCAGCTGTTTCCCTAGCCGTGCCAACGAAGCTATGGGATTCAGCCGGAAGGGAATGTGGAACCACATTCCTGTACCTGCACTGTGACATTACTCCCATCTTCCTGCGCTGCGATTTGTTTCCATGGTTGTTCTCATGATAGACCCCAAAACATTTCCCACCGCCGCTTTCTGCCGATGTGCTGTCGCGAGAGAGTTTGAACAGTTTTTGCCAACACTTCAAGTACTGTTGCTGACTCAGCCGTCCCTCATCCATTTCACTGTGGATTACGACTAACTGCAAACCCTGTGACTAAGTGTATCCGGATGGCATGGCCAATCGCAAGTTTTCAGCTTTAGCTGGAGGGGGACCCATTATCGGGCAAGAAATTTGAGTTCTTGAAGGTTGTTGAAAATCGGGCGCAAGAAAACGTCGTAAATCCGCCGACCCCGCCGTGACTGTTGATAAAAAGACCGGGAACGGATAAGGCTAAGGCTAATCATATAAGTAAAGGCTAAGGCTATACCAACCCTACCCCTCCGGAGCTTGGCTTAAGTGACGAAAAGGTCGCGAAATTAGCCAAGAATTAGCCAAGAATATTTACATCTTGGGGCACCCTCTCCACCCACGGGGGAAAATAAGCGCGGTCCCTAAATGGTCCCGGTCCCTGCCAGTGCCCTTGGCTTTTCCTAGATTTTGTAACGTTGTCCGCTGGATTTCTGTTTTTGTAAGATTCTCGTGCCTTTTTCGAAGGTTTTTCCAAGATTTTCTGTGGTTTTTTCTAGGAAGTTCTGTGGTTTCCTGAGATTTTCCACTCTTTTTTCTAAGGCGTTTTCGAGGGTTTTTTCTAGGAGTTTCTCCTCTATGCGCTCCGCACGTGCAAGCTTTTTCTGCTCTTTTCTAGTGCTGTGCTCGCATTCTGCAAGTGTGCCGGTGGAGGCTTTTGGGTTCCCAGATTTTCAAAGAAAAATGCTAACCCATTTGCCGTGCCCTCTTCTGCCTACTTTGCGCCGACCCCGGCCCGCTCCACCTTTGGGAACACGAACCTGGTTCTCCCACGCCTACAGCTCTGCTGCAAGGTTCAGGCAAGACACTCGCACACAAACAAAAAGCCTCACTCCAGACTTCGCTGTCGCAGTGCTCTGGCTGGCAGACACATGGGCAACACCCTGCAAACGGTTTAGTCAAAGCTTCGCTGCTGCAATACTATGGCTGGCAGACAGATGGGCAACGCCCTGTGTAGAAGCAATGTCCACACGCCTACATATTGAACCGAATGGCCTGGGAAGGCTCTCTGATATGGGTGTCGCTGTTACGCAACTCTGAGCGCGGACAGCGGCATTCCCATACCGTTGACTCACCTGCACCATGATCGCTTCCACGTGTGAAAGGCACCAGGCGTGCCAGAGATAGGCAAGAAACATAAAGAGCAAAGAAAGGGGAGAAAACAAACAAAGCACCAGAAAGAAATCATAAAGGACAGGAAGAGGATGGTGAAGGAAAAAAATATGAGCCAAAACCACCCAATCTTTGGGCCAACCCAGAGGGGAGAAGGTTCCATTTTGCCCTCCACAAAGGCCCAACGCCTTAACCATTAGGCCACTGGCCCACTGTCTCTACGCTTTTGGATTTCCTGTCCTGCGCTTTGCGCATGAGTTTTCAAGGGCCACACTGGGGCTTAAGGTTTGTGTGTGTACTCCATGTTTGCTGTCAGGGGCCTTGTTTTCACCATTTGCCGTGCTCTCTTCTGCCTACTTTGGTGATGCAGTGACAGATCATGTCTTTAGGGGTTCCGTGTTGTTTTTGGGGTTCCCCGAAGGCGTTCTTGAGAAAGCTAAAAATGCGTTGGGTTTATGAAGATTTGGTAAAAAATAGCCAGGTAGAACCGGCATATACAAACATCAGCGGCTTCATGGTACGGCTCTAGCTGGCTAGGGGTTCGTATTAGCCAGGTAGAGCCGGGCCGGTGGGACACCAGTACTACAACTATACTATACTAATTGTACTATAATGTTGGATCACGATTAGTAAAGGGGACTTCTATAATGCTAAATTTTCCAAAATTATTCAGACCCCCCTGTTTGAAAAATGGTACCTCTATAATGCTAATTTTTTTTGCCCTAAATTTTAAATTGGAAACCCAATTAATGATGGTTTGAACTGCTTCTGAACCCTGTCCACCTGCACTCCCCCCCCTTCCTTCTGAACCCAATTAAACCCTTTATAAAACATTGCTCCTAAACAAATTTTCAAGGTAGTAGACCAGGAAGGCACCTGATCCTCAAAAATAAATTTGCTTTTGGAACCTCAATTGTGAAAAGTTTTTTCCACTGGAAAAAATGCACATGGAA